GGCAATCATGTTAGATACACCCCTGGGCGGCCTGGACACGTTGAAGCACGTGGTCCTTGCTCGGGACCACCATTTAGATACCCCCTGGGTGGTCTGGACACGTGAAACCACGTTGTGCCAACTTTGGGCAACCATGTTAGGTACACCCCTGGGTGGCTTGGACATGTAAAAACACGTGGCCCTTGCTCGGGACAACAATGTTAGATACCTCCCTGAGTGGCCTGGACACGTGAAAGCCCGTGGCACGAGACATCCCCAACGCATCCTCATGCTAGACATCCCCTTGGGCGACCTGGACACATGAAGACAACCGTCTCGCTTGAGATATCCTCAAGTCCTCAAGTTAAACATGTGCTTGGGCGACCTGGGCCCGAGAAGAAACAAGCGTGACGCACGAGCCTCCCCAACTCTGCAAAACGAGCGTTGCGCCTGAGACATCCTCAACAAACTTAGATAAAGCAGCCGTTTCGCTAGGGACATCAAGTTCACCGGCCCTACGCGACCTTGCTATTGATCACAGAGTAATTTCGCCGGCCCTGCAAACGCGGGTCCGGGGGGAAACAGCTAAAAGAGAACCCTGGGCCCAGGCCTTTTCCGGGACATGATCGACCCACGAACCCGGAAAGGAATATAACAATGTAAGACATGGCAACGTTTCAAAGACACCTGATTGGGCGACGGGCAAATGCAATGATGAATGTATCGACCTTGATGTACCGTGCCGAGGGCTGTGCTGTGCTGCGCCGTGCTGAACTGCGATGTGCCATGCAGCGATTGTGCTCTATAGCGTTGTGGATCGAGTCCTCCTTTGCATTCGAGTCCTGACCGATCTGATCTGGGTCGTAAGCTCGAGCGGCCTCAGCATATAGTAGCTGCCCTAGAGCTGATTGGCAAGGAGACATGCCAGGAGGACACGCCGCGGAACGTCCCAAGGGACGCGCCAGGCGACGTGCCAGGGAACGTGCCATGGGGACGCACCGCAGAGGTGCCAAGCGGACGCGCTACGGAACGTGCCACTGGACGTGCCACGGGACGTGCCAGGGGACGCGCCGCGCGACGTGCCAGGGGGACTCGCCACGGGACGCGCCACGGAACGTGCCAGGGAACGTGACAGGTTGCAATGCTGAGTGTATCGATCTTGATGTACCGTGCCGAGGGCTGTGCTGTGCTGCACCGTGCTGAATTGCGATGTGCCATGGCGCGATTGTGCTCTATAGCGTCGTGCATCGAGTCCTCCTTTGCATCCGAGCCCTGACCGAACTGATCTGGATCTTAAGCTCGAGCTGCCTGAGCACTCAGTAACTGCCCCAGAGCTAATTGACAGGGGAACATGCCAGGAGGACGCGCCGCGGACCGTCCCAAGGGACGCGCCAGGCGACGTCCCAGGGAACGTGCCATGGGAACACACTGCCGGACGTGCCAAGGGGACGCGCTACGGAACGTGCCAATGGACGTGCCACGGGACGCGCTCCCAGGGCCACGATCCCTTGTAAATTACGCTGCGTCCGCACTCCCATGGCCACGATCCCTCGTGAATTACATTGGGGTCGCGCTCCCAGGGCCCCGACCCCTTGTAAATTTCGCTGCGTCCGCGCTCCCAGGGCCACGATCCCTCGTAAATCACGCTGCGTCCGAGCCCTCAGGGCCCCGATCCCTCGTATTCTACGCTGCGCCCGCACTCCAAGGGCTACGATCCCTCGTAAATTAGATTGTGTCCGAGCTCCCAAGGCCCCGACCCCTCGCAAATTACGCTGCGCCCGCGCTGCGAGGGCCACGATACCTTGCAAATTACGCGTGGTCCGAGCTCCAAGGGCTACGATCCCTTGTAAATTACGCCGCGTCCGCGCTCCCAGGGCCTCCTGGGGCATGCTGGGGCACCCAGGCCCTTCAAGTTTTGCCAAACAAGCGTTTCGCTCGAGACATCCTCGATTTTTGGCGCGGGGTGCGCACCATCCTCGAGCGGGCACGCAAAAACTTAACATTTCCACGGCAAATCTCGGAAAAACATGATCGACCCACGAACCCGGAAAGGAATACAGAACTGTAACACATGGCATTGTTTTCAAATACACCTGATTGGATGACGGGCAAATGCAATGCTGAGTGTATCGATCTTGATGTACCCTGCCGAGGGCTGTGCTGTGCTGCACCGTGCTGAATTGCGATGTGCCATGGCGCGATTGTGCTCTATAGCGTCGTGCATCGAGTCCTCCTTTGCATCCGAGCCCTGACCGAACTGATCTGGATCTTAAGGTCGAGCTGCCTGAACACAGAGTAGCTGCCCCAGAGCTAATGGACAGGGGAACATGCCAGGAGGACGCGCCGCGAAACGTCCCAAGGGATGCGCCAGGCGACGTGCCAGGGGATGTGCCATGGGGACGCACCGCGGGACGTGCCAAGGGGACACGCTACGGAACGTGCCAATGGATGTGCCACGGGATGTGCCAGGGGACGCGCCACGCGACGTGCCAGGGGGACTCGCCACGGGACGCGCCACGGAACTTGCCAAGGAACGTGCCAAGTTGGAATGCTGAGTGTATCGATCTTGATGCACCGTGCCGAAATCTGTGCTGTGCTGCGCCGTGCTGAATTGCGATGTGCCATGCCGCGATTGTGCTCTATAGCCTCGTGGATCGAGTCCTCCTTTGCATCCGAATCCTGACCGAACTGATCTGGATCTTAAGCTCGAGCTGCCTGAACACATAGTAGCTGCCCCAGAGCTAATTGACAGGGGGACATGCCAGGAGGACGCGACGCGGAACGTCTCAAGGGACGCGCCAAGCGACGTGCCAAGGGACATGCCATGGGGACGCACCGCGGGACGTGCCAAGGGGACGCGCTACGGAACGTGCTGGGGACACGCGTTTCGCTCGAGACATCCTGCGCGGGCACGCGGCACGCGCGAGACATCCTCGGAATTCTTGCGAGCGGGACGTGAAAACAAGCATTTCGCTTGAGACATCCTTTGAATTCTGGCCCCCCCACGAGGCCCCCGCTCGAGACATCTCCCAAGTTTGCAAAACCAGCGTTTCGCTCGAGACATCCTCAACAAATGATGGAAAGCAAGCATTTCGTTTGAAACATCCTGCCAAAATTCAAGGAAATCCTGGCAAACAAAAGGAATCAGTCGATTTTCGAGCGATCCCACTTGCACTTGCTTCGGCGTGGAGCCCCCACCCCCACCCAAACGTGCCAGCTGCTTCTGGCTTGCTTGGGGCGCGGCCCCCCCCCCTCCCCGTCGATGCAAGTAAACTTGCCAGAATGTAAAGATAAACCGTCTCCTTGTCGCTCTTTTCGGCCTCCGGGGGCCCCTACCGGGCCCCAGGACCGTCGAACAGCGACTCAGGACGAAACACCGGTCCCGGGGAAGGGGTCCAGACCTCTCTGGGGCTCGGCGCCGCGAAACATGATCGACCCACGAACCCGGAAAGGAATTAGAAATGTAAGGCATTGCAACATTTCAAAGACACCTAATCGGGCGACGGGCACATGCAATGCTGAATGTATCGATGATGATGTACTGTGCCGAGGAATGTGCTGTGCTACGCCGTGCTGAACTGCGATGTGCCATGCCGCGATTGTGCTCTATATAGCGTTGTGGATCGAGTCCTCCCTGGCATCCGAGTCCTCACCGAACTGATCTGGAGCGTAAGCTCGAGCTGCCTGAGCAGATGGTAGCTGCCCCAGAACTAATCGACAGAGGGAACATGCCAAGAGGACGCGCCGCGGAACGTCCCAAGGGACGCGCCAGGCGACGTGCCAGGGGACGTGCCATGGGCACGCACCGCGGGACGTGCCAAGGGGACGCGCTA